CAAACACAACCACACAGGACCTGTCACCAGCCAGAAATAGCTATGAGTGGTAGGCTGTCACCCAGGCTCTTCCGCCCCTCTTCTGTGTCCCCATCTGCTAAAGAGCACAGCTTTGCTGGACAGTTCCTATTCATGTCAAGATGGCCCCTTCCCATGTGGAGATGGAATGTGTCAGTGACCCTAATTGACAGATGGGGACACCCAGTCTCCAGTCATGTGGACTGCAGGCTCTGTTCTAACTGGAAAGGGCCTCAGGGTCCTGCCCCATAGAGATCAAGATCACAGAAGTGATCCATTCTAGGTCACCAGCCTGCTATCTGTCTCATGATCTATGTGCTACCTTGAAGGCCTCACAATGCCACCCCTCTTCCGTGCTGTGTCTCAAGTGCAATATCAACAACCCAAACTTGCTATGCTACACTCCAATGAAGGCCAGAATGACCCTTCACTGTCCCTCTGAGAGGGCCTAGTCCAGCTGAGACCCACTCTTAGGGACAAACTGGCCCTTCGCACAGCCTTCAACCCCCACCCCCTCCAACCCATGTGTCCTTCCAGGCCCAGCCCCTCCCTGGTATGTGACACAGCCTTCTTCTGGAAAGTCTCATGCTTGCTAGGTCCCAACTGTTCCCTAAGCAGTTCATAGTGACAGTCCTTGCCCTGACACCTGTCCCCATCAACCCTGGCAGTCCTGCAACTCTGCCAGTGTGGACCAGGGCCACATGGTGAGGCATCTTGGATCCCAGGGACAACTAGTCACCCTTTGTAGTAACACAGTAGTGATTTAAAAATAAATAAGGAGGGACTGGAGAGATGGCTCCACAGTTAAGAGCACTGACTGCTCTTACAGAAGGCCCGGGTTCAATTCCCAGCACCCATATGGCAGCAAACAACCATCCGTAACTTGAGTTCCATGGGATCCCATGCCTTCTGACCTCCACAGGTATTGCACAACATGGGTTCACTTAAACACATGCAGACAATATACTCATACATATTTTAAAAAATAATAATAAGGAAAATAAAATAAGTTCTTTAAAAAAAGAAAAAAAATGTAAGTGGCAAATCAGGGAGCTGGAGAGATGGCTCAGCACTTAAGAATGCATACTGTTCTTGCACAGGACCAGTGTTTTATTCCCAGCACCGGTATCTTAAGGCTCACAACCACCTATAACTCCAGCTCCAGGGGATCTGATGCCTCTTGCCTCCTTAGGCACCCGCACTGATGTGCACTTACCCACATACAGATATACTCATATGCACATAATTTATAAACAATTTTTTTTTTTTGAGACAGGATTTCTGTGTAGCCCCAACTGGCCAGGCTGGCTTTGAACTCACAGAGATCAGCCTGCCTCTGCCTCCCAAATGCTGGGATTAAAGGTGTGCACCACCATGCCCAGCATAAACAAATGTTTTTAAGATAACAAACCAGACTTCCCTGCTCTCCCTGCATAAGACAAATCAGCTGGGGATCTGGTTGCCCTGCAGGTTCTGGCTCACCAGAAGTGAAGTTTGGGCCTGCATTTCTCACAAGTTCCCAAGTGGAGCTGATTCTGGTGGATTACACACCCACTTTGAGTAGGGAGCACATGAGCCACACACCTTCCTGTTTTCATCCTGTGGGAATCTCGAAGTGAGTGACTCTAGACTAAGAAGAGAGCCTCAAGACATCAGCGCTCTGTGGCGACCTCTCTGACTGGCCAGCATGCTGACTGTCCTCCCTGCTGATTGCTCTGCCTTGCTGACTACCCTGCTTGTTGAAGGCCTTTGCCTACTCTCTTGTAATTATAGGTAGGGGCAGCAACAGCAACATGGCCCTTTATATAGGACAACTTCCACACAGGAAGTCCTTACAGGACTTTTTTTTTCATTAGGGAGAAAAATCTTTCCCAGGACTTTGCCTTTCCTTACTCTCCAAGTGTTGTTTTCTTTGATTCTCAGTGAATAGGTTGGGGTTACATTCCTACTTGATCTGGTTACTGGTATCAGGCCATGAGATTGCAGGATTAGCTATACTCGTCTATTCCATGCCCTTCTTGGCAAGTGAAAAGGGACAGCACACAGTATCTACCACACTGTGTTACCCTATACAACTTATTATCCCCATTCTGGACAGAGGAAATACCTCAAGAGGTAAATGAGTTGCCTGATGTCCTTAGCTATTGGATACAAAGGTGGGCTGGGGTTATGATTCAGTAATAGAATGCTTCCTTAGCCTGCACAGGGCCCTGGGTTAAATCCCTGCCACTGCAAATAAAAATTAGAACTTCAGCTGGGCATGATGGCACTTGCCTTTAATTTCAGCACTCAGGAGGTAGAGGCAGGCAGATCTCTTTTTTGAGTTTGAGGCTATCCTGGTCTACATAGCTTATTCCAGACCAGCCAGGACCAAAGCAAGAAAATCAAAACCTCAGGACAAGTGGGATGCCTGTCCACCAATGGTTCTTTCAGTTACTCTGCTGTTCTGCTTCCTGACAGGTATGACAACCGATGTCGGAACCTGAGCTCGGCACAGGTGGCCCAGAAACTGGCCAAGAACCCCAAGCCTGCTGTCCGCTTCCGCCTGGAGGAGGCAGTACCAGCCTTCCAGGACCTCATACATGGCTGGACTCAGCATGAAGTAGCCAGTGTAGAGGGGGACCCAGTCATCCTGAAGAGCGATGGCTTCCCCACCTATCACCTGGCCTGCGTGGTGGATGACCACCACATGGGCATCAGCCATGTGCTGCGGGGCTCAGAATGGCTCATCTCTACCTCTAAGCATCTGCTCCTCTACCAGGCCCTGGGCTGGCAGCCACCTCAATTTGCTCACCTGCCCCTGCTCCTCAATAGGGATGGCAGCAAGCTGTCTAAGAGGCAAGGGGACATTTTCCTGGAGCACTTTGCTGCCACTGGCTTTCTCCCTGAAGCTTTGCTCGACATCATCACCAACTGTGGCTCGGGGTTTGCAGGTACCTATACACCAGAGTGGCCATGGTGGCCCAGTGTGGCAGTGCAGAGCAGGCACTCTAGTACAGGCAGGCCTGCTTTGTCAGTCCAAGCTTTTCTGCCTTCCTGCAACATGATTTTGCACAAGTTCATTATTCTAGTCAACCATGTTTATTGAACCACACAACTATGTTCCCTCACTCAGTTTTCCCACACAGCCTTATTGTTGGTAAGGAATGGGGTTCTAATGAACACAGTAGTCCCTACCTTCAAAGAGCTAGAGTGTCATTAACCTCATCCATATGATGAAACTAAGGGTCTGTCTTGTAGGGTTAATTAGGAGTTATTGAGCTTTTAAATACAAGGAACAAGCCACTGCTAGTTTCCACACCATAGGTGGAAAAGCTCTAGACCCCATGATTACTGTAATAATGCAAGTTTATATGTAACAGTATTACTGGAGTTCCTGTGAATCTAGTTTATTCTGGGCTTGCAGCTAAGTCTTGAAGAACCAAGGACCAAATAGGATGACTTCTTGTGGCAAGATTTCTGAAACCATGACAGTAATAGTTTGCTTACTGTTCATTCTATTCATTTTATCTAATCCTTAAAATATCCTTCAGAAGTAGGTACTTGGTAATCCCGGTTTGTAAGATGATTTTGAGCTCAGGGAGGTTGAGTAACTTGCCAGAGTCACATTGTTAAAAGGAATATAGCACTTAAAGCCTATGCCTGACCACAGTGCCCTCTAACTGCACAGAAAGGGGTTGCTGCTCATAAAGAAGCTGTGTCTAGGGGGCTGGAGAGATGGCTGAATGGTTAAGAGCACTTGCTGCCTTTTGGAGGAACTGAGTTCAGTTTCTAGCACGCACATTGGATGGCTTACAACCACCTATGACTCCAATTTCAGGGGAAACAATACCCTCTTTGGCCTCCACTGGCACCCACGCATACATAACATAGCCACATATATGTATAAATTAAAATATTTTTAAAAAGAAGCAGCTGGAGAAATGGCTCAGTAGTTAAGAGCACTGTCTGCTCTTGCAGAGGACCCAGGTTGGGTTCCCACACTGATATGGTGGGTAACAACCATCCTTAACTTCAGGTCCAGGGAATCTGATGCCTTCTTCTAGCCTCTTCAGGCATTGCATGACATAGATATACTTACATGCAGGCAAAACACTCATACATAAAATAAAAATAAATTTTAAAAACCCTTTAAGTTTAATAAATAAAAAAAGCAGTTTCCAATCTGGGTATAGATTGGAAACCCAATACTAGACATGCTACAGCAGGGAGATTGCTAATTTGAGGTCAGTCTGGACTATATAGTGGCAAAACTGTCTCAAGACAGGAAAGCAGCAGCCTCCAGCATTGAGGTTCTCACTGTGGCATTAAGTAGGAAGCTTGTAGGATACACTGTGGCCTAACCCCACTCTAACCAGCTGGAGCAGAAGAGGGCACACATTTCTTGCAGCACATGCCCCTTAGGGGAATGAGAATAGCTTTTACTTGATTACTGGCCAACTTTTAGTTCCCTTGGTGACAGTACTTTCTGAAAATGAAGGCTCACTGTAAAAGGGATTTGACTTCTACCCACTTATGTATCAATTCAGGCCCTTGATCTGGCCCTTTGATCCAAGTGGAATGGAGAACTCTGCTTACTCAGCCTTCCTGTGTTTGAAAGTGGAAGTAGGGCAGGGCTCTGTGCCCAGCACCTGTAATCCCAGCTATGCTATGAGGGAAACTGAAGCAAGAGGATGGAAACCTATAGGCCATCCTGTGCAATGCAGAAAGAAAAATAAGAGGAAGAACAGAAATAAAGAAATAGAAGAGTGAAGCTGAGCAGCTGGGTGGGCCTGACTTACAGAGAACCAGATGGGCAGGACTCTGCCGGAGCTGACAAAACAGTTCGACCTGACCCGCATCGCCTGCCACTCAGCCCTGCTGGACCTAGAGAAGCTTCCAGAATTCAATAGGTGAGTGGATGAGCCAGACAGCATGGTGCATACCTGTAATCCCAGCACTTGGAAAGCTGAGACAGGAGGATTGTAAATTCTAGGCCAGCTTGTGTTACATATAGCAAGTCCCTGCCTTAAAAAAATAAAGTTAAGCCAGGCGTGGTGGCACACACCTTTAGTCCCAGCACTCAGGAGGCAGAGGCAGGCGGATTTCTGTGAGTTCAAGGCCAGCCCTGTCTACATAGTAAGTTCCAGGACAGCTGGAGCTACAGGGAGACCCTGTCTCAAAAAGACATTAATTAATTAATTAATAAAGTTAAAAAGAGTGAGTAGCATAGAGTGCCCCTGATAGAAGGGCCTTCTTGCCCATGACAAGTCCCCAGATTGAAAGGTCTAAGTATCGTAGACCCTACAGTCACACATGCCTGATGTGTATATATCTCTATCTATCCTTATATAGTGTGTATGTGTGTGTGTGTGTGAATGAGTGTTTTGCCTGATGTGTGTAAGTGCACTTGTGTCGTGCAGTGCCTTCAGAGACTGGAAGAGGTTGTCAGATCCCCTGGAACTGGAGTTACAGAGAGTTGTTAAATGTGGGTGCTGGAAACTGAATCTGGTACTCCTCAGCCAGTGCTCTTAACTGCTGAACCATCTCTCCAGCCCTTCACATGCCTGATTTTGCCTTTGGCTGTGGTAGTTGGGGCTCCATAGCCATAACTGAATTACCTAGCCTCTTGGACCTCCAGTTCCTCTTTGTGTAAAGACATTTTGCACAGCCCCTGGCACACTGAAAGGATTCTGCAAATTCTAGGGGCTGGTTTTATCATTACCATTCTGTTCCTGGTTACCCCTTGCATAGATTTTGCTAACTCCCAAAGCCTGGATACTACCATTTAGTGTCACTCTTGTGTCTACTCCAGCCCAGTACTGTCTCATGGCAACAACTTATTCTTTTAGGTTTCTGGTAGTTGAAGTAGTTCTTTACTTTGAAACTTCTACTGTGGTTCCAGTTCAGATCATTGTTGACATCATCGGTGGTAAATCCACTGGGGTGGGCATACTGGAGGTGGACAGGGAGGGAATTTCTGGTGCCTTTTCTTGAGCACTAGCTTGGGGACAAGCATCTTCTTTTTTTTTTTTTTTTTTTTGGTTTTTTGAGAAGGTCTCCCTGTAGCCCCAGCTGTCCTGGAACTCACTATGTAGACCAGACTGGCCTTGAACTCACAGAGATCTGCCTGGCTCTGCCTCCCAAGTGCTGGGATTAAAGGCGTGCACTACCACACCTGGCCAAAAAATAAGAAATGCTTCGTGAATTTGCATTTCATCCTTACACAGGGGCCATATTAATCTTCTTTGTATCGTTCTAATGTTAGTATATGTGCAGCCAAAGCGAGCACTTATTTTTATTTTATGTGTATGCGTGTATTGCCTGCGTGTAGGTAAGTGCACCTGAGTCGTGCAAGGCCCGCGAAGGTCAGAAGAAACTGTCGCATCCCCTGGGCCTGGAGTTTCAGACGGTTGTTAGCTGCCTTGTGGGTGCTGGGATTCAAACCTGGGTCTTCTGCAAGAACAACCAGTGTTCTTAACCGTTGAGCCATCTCTCCAGCCCCACATCTTCTCTTTTAAGACAGTCTCTCATGTAGCACAGACTAACCTCAAACTCACTATGTAGACCAGGATTATCTTGAACTCCTGATCCTCTCGCCTCCATCTCTCAAGTGCTCAGATTGTAATAGTGTGCTAGCATGATAACACACCTGCAGTTCTTTGTTGTTTTTTGTTTTTTGTTTTTTTGGTCTTTTTGAGATAGGATCTCCCTGTAACCCGAGCTGGCCTGGAACTCACTATGTAGACCCAGCTGTCCTCAAATTCACAGGGATCTGCCTACCTCTGCCTGAGATTAAAGGTTTACACCACCACATCCAGCACACCTACAGTTGTTTTAAGAATGTGACTTCATTCACTTCTCCCATCAGACCTGTGGGGTCATTTCTGTCGTTTTGCTGGTTATTACTGATGACGGGGCCAAGACAATTTAAATGGCTACTCCAAATTTACACAGTAAACAGTGAGGCATCTCTTGCATGGGGCCTGCAAGAGTGAATGCAGTATAATATGTCAATGCAGTGTGGCTGCCTTTTATATTACAGAGAGGTGATGTTTCAGGGGGAAGTGGAGTCAGGTCGGAGAAGATGCTTTATGGTGCCTTGCAGGCCTTCCTGAGGTCCAGGGGTAACCAGAAGAAAGCTGGAAGTGGGTTGTTGCCTGGGGAGGGAAGAAGCTTTGGGACTGATGCCCACAGGCCTAATTTAGCCAAGCTGAATTACCTTGATGCTTCTCCGTCGTTTCATTAAGTCTCTGCCATACTTATTTCAGAAATAGTAAGTATGTTAGTCACAGCAGCAGTAGGACTGGAAGCATATGAAATTGGGAATAGTTATTAACATTTATTTAGCTCTGGACTTGGCATGTGTTATTTCAGGCATGGCCAGGAGGGTTCCCTGGTTTTTTCTTCCTACTGCCTGGTCTAGCTACATATGTTTTCTATAACACCTTAAAAAATTTTATTTTTCAGCCAGATGTGGTGGCACATGCCTGTAATCAGCATTCAGGAGGCTGAGGCAACACGATAGAGAATTCTAGACTAGCCTAGGCTACATAGACCCTGTCTCAAACACAAAAACACAGCAAAAAGGTTTTAATCAGTTTTTGGTCAGACTATTCTAAATAGCCTCCCATGGGGTCTTGTCCTTCTGCTCTCGTCTGAGACCCCCCTCAGGCCTGCAGCCCCAAGATGTGACTTCTAGGCCTTGGCATCAGTATCCTGCACGTATTTGCATGTTTATTCCTCACTGCCACCATGTCTGTGCAGGAAGCCCACTCGTCCTGTAATGGATGAGGCTCCCCAGACTCCCAGGGTCATGTGACTTGCTGCAGACTCCTAGCAGGCAGGTTTTGTACTTGGCCTGCCCCATTCTAGAGCTGGTGAGCTGCTCCCCGCTACCTTACTACCTGGCTTTCCTCTGACACAGACAAGGGGCTGCGTGATTCAGAATGGTCCTCGGTTCTGCACTGCTCCATCTCATCTTGGCCCCTCTAATCCTGCCAGGGAAAGGGACTGAGGATGGTGGGGCTTGATCTAAGGATTGGAGTCTTTGAGGCATTGCTGCTCTGAAAGCAAAAACAAAAGCAGGCAATTAGCATTCCAAAGAAGAGAAAGTCTGAACCAATAAGAAAACCCAGGTTTGAAACTGTAAGCCCTCTGCTCCAAATCCGAGAAATCCAGTTTTTGACCTCTCTTCTTGTGCCAAAGGCCTATAATTCAATTATGGCTAGGCAGCAGATACTCCCAGATTGGGCTTTGTAAACGCAGGTGCTTGTAGAGGGAGAATGGTGAGACACCAGGGAGGGAGGGACAGGGCAACTGGAGGCCTCTAAAGTCTGAGCCAGCCTGCTCCAGCCAGTTAAAGCTGTCCAGCTCGGGGCCCTTGGCACCTGGAGCTACTTATTTCCCAAGGGAAGCAAGAACACTCCTTAATGTGATCTCTGAGTATAAAATAACAGCCAGAGGGCTGGATGGAGTTCAGTGGGAGAGTGCTTACTTAGCACGCATGAGGCTTTGGATATGATTCCTTAGCACTTCAAAAAGAGAAAGTGAAAGGAGGGAGGAAAAGAACACTGAAAACAAACCACGTCTGCTTACCTCCTGGACACTCAGGGTGGCTCTCACTGACCTTGGTCAAGTCCTGCTCCTTTTAGATATATCAAGAAAATCCTGTTTTTAGCATAAAGGTAGGGTCTGCAGACATGGCATTCTTAAAATTCCAGGTGCTCCCCTGAGGGTAGAGGGCTTGGGTGGAGCTGGGGTGCCAGTATCAGGGAAGCCCCTTCCCCCTCAGGTTGCACCTCCAACGACTGGTGAGCAATGAGACCCAGAGGCGCCAGCTGGTAGAGAAGCTGCAGGCCTTGGTGAAGAACACCTTCAGGAACCAGCTGCAAGACAAGGGTGTTCTGGACCCAGCCTATGTGGAGAGGATCATCCTGCTGCGACAGGTGTGGGTTTGGGGGCTCCTTTCCCTTTTGGGGTTTTCTGAACCCTGTCCCAGTGTAAGTAATGACTGCCTCCCTCCCTCCCCAGGGCCATGTCTGCCGCCTTGAAGATCTGGTCTCCCCAAAGTACTCCTACCTGTGGACTCGCCCTGCTGTGGGTCGAGCCCAGCTGGGTGCTGACTCAGAGAAGGTGGATATCATTGCCAAGCATGTGCTGGGGTGAGTGTGCACAGACCCTGTACCATTCTACACCCTGTCTTGCTCACTGCCCTTGCCTCCTTCCTTCAGGACGTGGCTGTTGGCCCCCTGCATATACCTACAGCAAGCAGAAAAGAGCTCACTCACTGGCCTCTCAGGTTAGGAGGGCAACCCAAAGAACCCAGGCTCTTCCTGGACATAGGCAGTGGGCTCAGTGACTCAGACCCATTTTGGCAACATCCCAGCTCTGCCACTTCCAGGGTTTTTCTTCTCAGGTGGTTTCACTTTGGCCAGGTGGTGTTCCCAGAGCCTCTTTTTCCTTCTGTCTGTAAGGGAATGATAACCTGGCTCTTCCTAAAAGTGGGTTTCATAGTGACATTTTCATACATATATAGATCACTGTATCTTGTTCACATTCATGCTTCCAGTTCTTTCTCTCATCCCTTCTCTCCACCCCTCACTGATCCCCTTCGTCCCCGCAGAAGTCCCCTCTGCTTTCACATCTCTCTCACACCCCACGTTCTAGACATTTTCAAATTAGGTTTTGTCAAGCAGTATTCTACTTACTGTTTAGTCCATCACTGCTCCCTTGCAGTGTACTTGATTACCCCCTCACCGCCCCCCCCACAAAAGGTAGGCGCATGAGCTGAGAATAGGAGATGGAAAACTCCCCATGGAGGTTGGGGTACTAGTATCAGAAAGGTACTGTGGATCTGTGGATGCTGTGCAGCAAAATTTATAGGTTTCATTGTACTTCTGTTTTGTTATAAAGATCATACTAGAAAATAATAGCAAAATGTTCTTTGTTTACAATATGCATATTTATTTATTTTTTAGTCAGTATCTCAAGACATATAGCCTAGGCTGGCCCCAGACTCACTATGTAGTCAAGGCTGACTTTGAACTTCTGATCCTTCTGTTTTTCCTGAATGCTGGGAATACAGATGTGCATCACCATGCCCAATTAGTTTGTGCTGAGAGCTGAGCCTAGGTGTTAGGTAAACACTTTGCTAGCTGATCCACATCCCTAGCCCCAGTGTACTATTTAGTATACCATGTACACTATATGCATATACATACACATATATCTACTTTAAGTCACAGCATTGGGCTCTTTCTCCTTTCTTTCTTTCTTTCTTTCTTTCTTTTCTTTCTTTCTTTCTTATGTATGTAAATGTATGCCTCATTAGTGCTGGGACTAAAGGCACAATTTTTTTTTTCTTTTTAAGAGATAAGGTCTGAAGCTGGGAGGCAGAGGCAGGTGGATCTCTGTCAATTTGAGGCCAGCCTCATCTACTTAGTGAGTTCCAGGCCAGCTGTGGCTACAGGGAGACCCTGTCTCAAAACTGAACAAAGGAACAAAAATCAAAAAGGGATAGGGTCAGCTGGGCGTGGTAGTGCATGCATTTAATACCAGCAGAGGTAGGTGGATCTCTGTGAGTTCAAGGCCAACCTGGTCTTCTCAGTGAGTTCCAGGCCACCTGGAACTGCAAGGGGCTACAAAGCTCCCTGGGGCTACAGGGATACTGTGTCTCTAAAAGACAAAAAAAAAAAAAAAAAGGTGGGGGAAGGGATAGGGTCTACATGCTGCCCAGGCTGGTCCCAAATTTGGGTTGCTTCTAAATTTTGCTGTTAGAAATAAGTCTGCGGTGAATAACCTTACATAGATATTGCTAAGCATACTTACAAGTCCATCCCAAGAATCAGTGCTCAAAAGACAGTATTGTCAATAATACTCTTAAGTTTGGACATTCCATAGTAGGGCTCATAATTCTGATTTACCAAGACTCAATGTCTTAACTTCATCCCTACCATGGATTAGATTTCAGAAACACTGAGTCTGCCACTCAAGTCAGAAAAACTGACACCCAATATGGTCAGGAGTTGCCAGACACTAGAAATCCCTTTTGTGATCTTGCCAAGCTCTGAGCTAGCTGTAGTGTACCCTGAGCTGCCATTAGAGATTGCCTGAGCCCTGTCTTCCAGTTGCTTGGCAGCCTGCTTCCCCTAATGCAGTGGCATTGGAAGAATGTCTATGTTCTTCCTATATTGCAATTTATATTTTTAGAATTTCACCTCCTTGATTTCTTAAATAGCAGTGATCATGTGGCCTGGGTAATGATTGATTTTATTCAATGCAGCTGCTGTAATAAAATACCATAGACTGTGTACCGAAAACAACAGACATTTATTTCTTCTAGTTCTGGATGCTGGGAGTCCACAGTCAAGGTGCTGGCTGATGCAGTGTCTAGCCATGGCTGCCTTCTTTTTCTCTTTGGTCTTTTCTCTGTGCCCTCTTGTGGCAAAGGGGATAGGAATCTCTCTGGAAGTCTTTTTCCTCATTTTTTCTTTCTGTCCTCAGTGTCCTCCCTCCTAATACTATCATCTTGGGAGATAGGCTTTCATTATACAAACTTTGGAAGACAAACATTCAAACCATAACAGGGATGCAATACAGTGGTTACTTTCGCTGGCCATGGTAGCATGTTCCTATAATCTTAGCTGCTTAGAAAGCTAAACTAAAAAGATTGGGCATTCAAGACCAGCCTAGGCAACATAGTGAAACTATCTCAAAAAAGGGATGGGGGCGGGGGACGCTGTGAAAATGGCTCAGTGGGAAATGGTGCTTACTGTGCAATCATAATGACCTAAGTTTGGGTCCCAAAACCTGGATAAAAATCCAGATGTGGGCTGGAGAGATGGCTCAGCGGTTAAGAACACTGGTTGTTCTTGCAGAAGACCCAGGTTCGAATCCCAGAGCCCACATGGCAGCTGACAACTGTCTGTAACTCCAGTTCCAGGGGATCTGACAGCCTCTTCTGTCCTCCGAGGGCATTGCACAACATGGGTGTACTTACCTACATGCAGGCAATACACACATACACATAAAATAAAAATAATAAATAAAGTATTTTTTTTAAAAATCCAGATGTGACCATACAGACCTGTAACCCCAGTGCTGGCGGGGGGTGGGGGGAGAGGTGGGCAGGGCACATAGGGGAATAGCTTGGGTTAACTGAACACCAGCCTAGCCCAAGGAGGAGATGGAGAGGGATATGAGACTAAGACCTCAAGCAACAGGTTCAGTGAGAAATGCTGTCTCGTGGGAATAAGTGGAACAGTAGAGGAGTGTACTTGGTATCTGCCTCTGGCTTCTGCGTGTATACATGGACATATACACGTGTATACACACATCACAGGCACAGAGTAAAAAGTGGTTAGATTTTGGAGGGGGGTGGTTTTGGCCTTTTTGAGACAGGGTCTCCCTGTAGCCCAAGCTGGCCTGGAACTCACTTTGTAGACCAGGCTGGCCTTGAACTCACAGAGATCTGTCTGCCTCTGCCTCCCGAGTGCTGGGATTAAAGTTGTGTGCTACAATGCCTAGCTAAACTGATTAGTTTTGTAATTTGTTTTTATTTACTTATTTGGTATTTTGAGACAAAGACTGATGTATTATAGGCTGGCCTTGAATTCTTATTTTGTGGGTTTTTTTCTTTCTGGTCTTTTTGAGACAGGATCTCCCTGTAGGCCAGCTGGCCTGGCACTTGCTATGTAGACCAGGCTGGGCTCAATCTCACAGAGATCCACCTGCCTCTGCCTCCCAAGTGCACCCCCACACTTGGCTGGCCTTGAATTCTTGATCCTCCTGCCTTCTCTGGAGTGCTAGACTTACAATGTATTCCATAGGTCCTAGCTTATTTTTGTCTTAACTTGAGACTCAGCTGCTACAGTCTGGCAGTTGGTAAGGAAAGCTGTGTGCACTAAGAGCCTGTTTTTTCAAATCACTTATAAAGCCGGTTCTCTAAGCCCGTACTTCTCCACCCTGAACTGCTATGTAGGACACAGTTGTGTGGACCCTGTCATGAGCAGGGATTCTGCTCATATAGAATTGTCAGTTATCTCAAGTTGCAATTTCAAATACAATCATTTTGGGTTTTTTTAAGGTTATTTTTCAGAGGCTGGAGCTCAGTGGTAAGAGCACTAGCTGCTCTTTCAGAGGACCTGGGTTTTGTTCCCAGCACCCACATGAAGGCTAACAGCCATCTTTAACTCCAGTTCAGGGGGATCTGACACACTACTTCTGGCCTCTATGGGCACTGCATGACACAGGTTCACTTACATACATGCAGGCAAAAACACTCATACACATGAAATAAAAATAAGATTTAAAAAATTTTATGTGTGTATCTGTGTATGCGATACATACTTGCAAGTGCACAGAGAGCACAGAGAGGGTGTCAGATGATTCCAGGCAGTGATAAGCCAACTGATATGGGTGGTAGGAACCAAACTTGGGTTCTCTGAAAGAGCAGAGAACCACTGAGCCATCTCTCCAACTCCTAAGGAAACAGGAAGGCTGCTGTGGAATGTATTCACCCACCACACTCCCATCTCTTGCCACGACTCAGTCAGAGCTGAGGCAGATGGTCTACAAGTCCACCTCTAACCAACTGTGAATGTCTCGAAGCTCAAATGTACTTTTGAGAAAGGATCTTGGCTAGACTGCCAGGAACATGAAAGTGGTTGCGGGCCCACTGAAGTTTAGATGCTTACCTGTTTCCATTTGTAGGAAAAGAGGTTCTAACAAGTTAGCCACAGGGCTGTTCCTGGAGTTGCAGTTTCCTAATCTTTTGTTTCTGCTCCTCTGTACCCCTCCCCCAAAGACTAATCTTTTTTAAAAAATCTTTTATTTGTGGGGCTGGAGAGATGGCTCAGTGGTTAAGAACACTGGCTGTTCTTGCAGAAGACCTGGGTTCGAATCCCAGCATCCACATGGCAACTGTCCGTAACGTCAGTTCCAGGGGATCCGACAGCCTCTTCTGTCCTCCTCAGGCATTGCATGGCATGTGTGCACTTACCTACATGCAGGCAATACATGCATACACATAAAAATAATAAATTAAAAAATTTTTTAATCTTTTATTTATTTATCTTTTTAAGTCTGAGTCAGCATCTCCCTGTAGGCTCAGCTCGCCTGGAACTCACTATGTAGACCAGGCTGACCTTGAACTCATAAAGATTTGTCTGCCTCTGACTCCCAAGTGCTGGGTTTAAAGGCATGCACCACATGCCCGGCGAAAAATATTTTATTTATTATTTAATTTTATCTGTATGAGTGTATTGCCTGCATATGTTTAAGTGCACCTGTGTCATGCAATGCCTATGGAGGTCGGAAGAGGGCGTCAGATCCCCTGGAACTGGAGTTATAGATATTTGTTAGCTGCCATGTGGATGCTGAGAACCAAACCTACTCTGCAAGAGCAGCCAGTGGGCTAAGCCATTTCTCCAGCCCCACAAAGACTAATTTTGAAGCCATATTTTAGGTAGTTTCTCAGAAATTATCCATTCTTGCATCCTGTGTCTAACCCATTCCTACGTTTTCTTTTTAGGTCCCCCTCCACAATCTCTGAGCTGTTGAATATAATAAATACTAATTTTTTTTTTTTTTTTTTTTTTTTTTTTTTTTTTTTTTTTTTAGGGTCTCCCTGCAGCCCCAGCTGTCCTGGAACTCACTATGTAGACCAGGCCTGCCTTGAACTCACAGAGATTCGCCTGCCTCTGCCTCCCGAGTGTTGGGATTAAAGGTGCGCACCACCACGCCCAGCAGTACTAACTAATTTTTAAACTTTATCAAAACATAATACCCAATATTTATTTATTTATTGGTTTGGGTGGGGTGTTTTGGGTGTTTTTGAGACAGGGTCCCCCTGTAGTCACAGCTGGCCTAGAGCTTACTACATAGACCAGGGTGGCCTCCATCTCACAGAGATCTGCCTGCCCCTGCCTCCCAAGTGCTCTATTTTTATTTTTTATATTATGTGTGTTCTACTTGCTTGTATGTAAGTGCACCCGTGTCGTGCAGTTCCCACAGAGGTCAGCAGAGGGTGTCAAATCCCCTGGTTGTTAGCTTCCATGTGGGTACTGTGGACCAAACCTGGGTCCTCTGCAAGAGCAACCAGTGCTCTTAACCTCTGAGTCATCTCTCCAGCCCCAATATCTAATATTCTTGAGTATTTGCCATGACTTTAGGCACTGTACTTAGTGCTGTTACCCCCTGTGCTGTACCCATACTGTCATTATCCCTACTTTACAGGTGAGAAAACAGACAGCAATTACATGGCAGCTAGTGAATCCTCTTATTATGGTGTCGTCTTGTTTTTATTTTACTTTATTTTTACTTTATTTTTTACATTTTCCTTGGGCAGGGTGGAGTGGAAGTCCAAGGACAACTTAGGAGCATTGGTTCTCTCCTACCAGGTGGGATCTGGGGGTTGAACTCAAGTCATTAAGTTACCCTTACCTGCTGAGCCATCTTGCTGGCCCTGTGGTGTCCTCTTACTCCTTATATCTTGCCCACTTGATTGGGCGATCTGTGTGTTTAGTCTCTTCATTGTTTGCAACTTTCCCAGCATGGACTAGAGGAAACAGTAGATTATTTTCACACCCCTCATAAAATCAGGTTTGTGCTGTAGGTGATTAATAGTCTTGTGAAGTTCACCCTCCCACTCTTGCCATTAGCCCTATAGGCCCCTTATACTAACTGGCTGTCTTCTAGGCTTTTAGAAAGAGCTGGTTCGAGCCTAACTCAGGATATGCTGAATGGAGAACTGAAGAAGCTCTCAGAAGGCCTGGAAGGTACCAAGTACAGCAATGTGATGAAGCTCCTTCGAGTGGCCCTCAGTGGACAGCTGGTGAGATGGGGTGTGGGCTGGACTATTGCCTGTAGCCCCTCAGTGACCCTTCTAGCTAATGTTCACTGTCAGGCATTAAGGCCAGCTCAGGGAATAAAAAGCTAATGAAACATGACCACTCCATTCATTCAGTCAGCAGACTGTAACTAAGCATCTTCTGTGTGCCAACACCTTGATAGGTATTGTGGAAACTGTGTGAACAAAGCACACATTCCCTGCTTCCACAGAGGTTATTGAGAATAACACATCACCAGTTTGCCTTATCCAGGAAAACGGGCTCCTGGGAGCCAGCTTTATCAAAAGTTTAAAACCAATAAGGTCTTAGGTATAACTTAGTGATGAAGCATTTGCCTAGGATCCGTGAAGCACTGTGGTTGATCCCTAGCACCACAACAATAAAAACAACCAAAAAACTCCAGAAAAAAGAAAATGTCATAATTACATGCTCTGCTCCTTGGGTTGCAGGCTGCAGGTCAGGGCTGTCTGGGGATATCTTCTGCAGACTGGGGCTAGGCATGAATTCCTTCTTCAGTTATGTTTTTCCTTTCTTTTCTTAGCAAGGACCTCCTGTGGCTGAAATGATGGTGTCCTTGGGCCCAAAGGAAGTTCGGGAACGAATCCAGAAGGTGCTTTCTAGCTAGGAAGAAGATATTCATGATGGTGGAGGTACCCTAGAAGACTCTACACATGGAAACTGCACTCTGAAGAGAGCAGGAGGCCTGGGGCCCGTCAGGACCCTCGCAAGATGAACAGGAGTGAAAATAGACTCTCTGGTGACCGTCATCAGCTGACCAGGGAAGCCCAGCCCACCTTACCTCCTTGGCTCTGGGAAGGATGAACTTGAACTCATATCTGGATTTTCATGCCACATTACACAGCAGGGATTAGGGCTGGTTCATAGAACGCAGAGGGCTCAGGTCTTCGTTTGCTAGGGCTGCCATACAAAATACCACAGAACTTGGCAGCTTGAACAACAGAGGTTGCCCCGCTCACTGTTCTAGAGACTAAAAGTCCAAGATCAACTATCCGCAGGGTTGGTTTCTTCTGGGGGCCTTTCCTGGCTTGCCATTCTCTTACTGTGTCCTCTGAGGACCATTCCTCTGTGCCCACATGTCCCTTTTTCCTTTCTGTGACTTATTCTTTTACAAGGACACCAGTTAGGCTAGCCCACATTCTTTGTTCCTGGGCATTAGGGTTTCTACATACACATAGTAGACAGGGCACAGCTCAGCCACAACAGTTCAGCTCTAGTCTGGACTCATGCATCCCAGTTCTCAGGCCCAGTTTGAAGTGAAAACAATAATGTACATAAGTAGGGCCAAGCTAGACATCAGATTTTCCTTGCTGATTGTAAAGGTAAGCTCCTGTGTTTGATGTCACTCTTGGACTGTGGGACAGCCTGTGTCCCCTTTCTCTGAAGGTGATTTGCTCTTTATTTGGCCTTTTTTTTTTTTTTTTTTTTTTTTTTTTGAGACAGGATTTCCCTGTAGCCCCAGCTGGCCTGAAACTTACTGTGTAGACCAGGTGAGTTCAACTCACAGAGATCCACCTGCTTCTGCCTCCCAAGTGCTAGGATTAAAAACATGTGCCACCATGCCTGGCCCAGGTCATTTGCTCTTTTCCAGCTCTCTAGACTCAGTCCCTAGACTAGAGACCTTCACTCTTATTTTGTGTGTCTTCATTTCTACCCCTTCCTTCCACCATTACTTCTAAATCATTGTCTTCAGATTTCTGAAATTAGATTTTTGTTCTTGGGGTCTTAAATGACTAGGAATGCCTCCAGTGATGGAATGCCCAGTGAAGGAATGCCCAGTGAAGGAAGACCCCTTCAGGGCTTCTAGGCTTCCCCAGAGGCAGCCAGCCTTTGGTGGCTGCCAACAGTCTCTGCCTCCAGTGCTCACACTTGGGTGAGTCTTTCTCAAACCAAGGAGGAAGCTAACTTGTGTAACCCATAGGCTGTTGAGAAAGTGACAGAGCCTCACTTCTAAGGCTAGATCATAAAGAACCTTACCGCTTATTTCTTACTCTCTTGAATCCCTTATTTTGGAGAAAGCCAGCTTCTAGGTTATGAAGATACTTAGGACCTTTCCTTTTGGAGGGGTCCATAGAACGTTGGCGTCTCCTGCCAGTGACCATATGAGAGAGCCATATTGGATGCTGATCTTTCCACCCCAGCTAAGCACCTAGGACACCTGGAACCAGAATGTTCAGTGAATCACTCTGGAATTTCAGACCTAGGGTTGTGAGTCAATAAATGTGTATTGCTTAAACCACTTGTTTTGAGGGTTATTTATTACCTAGTAATAGATAACTGCTATTCTCTCCTTGCCCATGGGAGTATGGGGAGAGGATTAAAGAGCTTATTGAGCCTTGCTTAGAAAATACACAAGATTGCAAGGTGTGGTGGTGCACACCTTTAATCCCAGCACTTGGGAGGCAGAGGCAGGTGGATCTCTGTGAGTTCCAGGCCAGATGGGGCTACAGGGAGACCCTGTCTCAAAAAAAAAAAAAAAGGTAGGAGTGTGTGGTGGTGCACACCTTTAATCCCAGCAGAGGCAGGCAGATCTCTGTGAGTTCCAGGCCAGATGGGGCTACAGGGAGACCCTGTCTCAAAAAAAAAAAAAAAGGTAGGAGTGTGTGGTGGTGCACACCTTTAATCCCAGCAGAGGCAGGCAGATCTCTGTGAGTTCCAGGCCAGATGGGGCTACAGGGAGACCCTGTCTCAAAAAAAAAAAAAAAGGTAGGAGTGTGTGGTGGTGCACACCTTTAATCCCAGCAGAGGCAGGCAGATCTCTGTGAGTTCCAGGCCAGATGGGGCTACAGGGAGACCCTGTCTCAAAAAAAAAAAAAAAGGTAGGAGTGTGTGGTGGTGCACACCTTTAATCCCAGCAGAGGCAGGCAGATCTCTGTGAGTTCCAGGCCAGATGGGGCTACAGGGAGACCCTGTCTCAAAAAAAAAAAAAAAGGTAGGAGTGTGTGGTGGTGCACACCTTTAATCCCAGCAGAGGCAGGCAGATCTCTGTGAGTTCCAGGCCAGATGGGGCTACAGGGAGACCCTGTCTCAAAAAAAAAAAAAAAGGTAGGAGTGTGTGGTGGTGCACACCTTTAATCCCAGCAGAGGCAGGCAGATCTCTGTGAGTTCCAGGCCAGATGGGGCTACAGGGAGACCCTGTCTCAAAAAAAAAAAAAAAGGTAGGAGTGTGTGGTGGTGCACACCTTTAATCCCAGCAGAGGCAGGCAGATCTCTGTGAGTTCCAGGACAGCTGGGGCTACAGGGAGACCCTGTCTCAAAAAAAGAAAAAAAAAAAATTGAAAATGATAACTATCAAAGGGCTTGACAGATGTGGCCCATCTGCTTTCCTGGCTTCATCCTTCACTCCTGTCATGCCCAGTCTCTTGTTCTCTGGTCCATGGTCACATCAACCTTCCATAGGTCCTTGTGTGCCCTGCTTCTGTCTTGCATTTGCTCATGCTGTTCTCTGTCTAAATCACTCGTCTACCCACTCTTCTCCCACTCCACCTTGGCTCTTTTTTCGGGGGGGCATCTTTTGAGATAGGGTCTCCCTGTAGCTACAGCTGGCCAGGCTGGCCTTCCAACTACAAAATCTGCCTGCCTCTGCTTCCTGAGTACTGCTCTTCTTTTTTAAGCTTCAGATCTTAGCTCCACTGTCACCTCCACAGTGCAGCCCCTGACTTCTAGAAGGCCTTGCCCTCATTGATTATCAGGTGGTTCTGCAGCATGCTGTTGGAATTGATTACAGACATGGCTACATAGGTGGCTAGTTCTGCAGCCACTTGTTAGAGTCAGATTGTGATATGCATGAATGCAGGAGCCTCATCTGACTTGTCGAGCACTTTATCCCCAGTCAGTTCTGAGAATGGCACCTGTTTACATAGTAGGTGGTCAGTAAGCACCTGCTCATCTGCTGTGCAAGAAACCCTGGGTTTGATCCCCACCATGCCCAGGCTTGGCAGTAAGAGCCCTTACCCACTAAGCCATGGTAGCACATGCCTGGGAGGATCATAGAAGTTTAAGGTCATCCTAGCTACATAGAGAGTTTGAAGGCAGCCTAGGCTACAAGAAGCCCTGCCTCAAAAAAGAAAAGAAAAAGAAAAACATATATCTAATCTAATTGCATCAGGTAGAAAATGCAGTGCACACTTGACAGCCCTACCAGTCAACTGTGTTTAGTTAGAATATTGTTTTGCATTGCCCAGGAACTTCATATCATTTGTGGTTACTATTTTTGTTGGTAAGTCATGTGATATGAACATGACTGTGATAGGCTTTTTTAAATTTAGAAGACAGCACAGATTTGGCTTGACCCTTTATGATGACCTGGGGATTTCCAGCTTTCCCCTTAGATCTGGGCAAATTGTTGGGGGTTCAAGCCATGCCTTCTAAGCCAGGAAAGTCAACTCTGCCCCTACTTCTCTTCTCCCATGCTGGCTACAGTAGCACAGCCCCAACAAAGGATCTTCTGTCTGGAGAACACCTCTTGTCTTCATGGAACAAACACTGGCCACCAAGTCCTGTTAGACTTGAGGGTTTGCAATGGAAAAGTAAAACAGGACCTTAACTGTGTGTGCTGTAGTTTGTTACCTTTGTTTATTATGTATTTTTGAGGCAGGGCCCTATGTAGCTCATTCTGTACTTGAACTCTTGATTTCCCTACCTCCCATTCAAAAGTTAACCACATCCAGCTTTTACCCTTATTGACTGATAATTGTTAAACTTTTTTTAAGATGAAAAGACTGAGCAGCATACCTGCAATCCCAGCACTTGGGAGACAGAAACAGGATTACCAGGAGTTCAAGGCCAGCTTTGACTACATAATGAGTTCCGGGCCTGCCAGGGTTAAATATAGTAAGACCCTATTTCAGAAAAAGAAAAGGGAAAAAAGAAAAGATGGCTGGCGAGATGACTCCATGGGTAAGGCACCTACTGCCAAGCCTGATGACTTGAGTTTGATCCCCTGAACTCATACAGTGGAAGAAGAGAACTGACTCCAGCAACTTGCTCTGACCTCTACACTACTGCCATAGTACTAGTACTTTGTAGCACTGAGAGACTGAGGCAGTATGGTAATTTTGAGTCTAGTCTGAGCTACATAGTGAGACATCGCCTTAAAAAATATAGATAAGACGCCCTTTTTTTTTTGGTCATTTTTGAAACAGGGTCTTCCTGTAGCCCCAGCTGTCCTGGAACTCACTATGTAGACCAGGCTAGCCTTGAACTCACAGAGATCTGCCTGCCTCTGCTGGGATTAAAGGCATGTGCCACCACGCCCGGCTAAGACACCCTTTTTGACTGGGCATGGTGTATGCTTTTAATCCCAGTGGAGGCAGAGGTAGACAGTTCTCTGTGAGTTACAGACCAGCCTGTTGTACACAGTGAGTTCCAAACCAGCCACAGCTACATAGCGAGACCTGTCTAAAAAAAAAGAAAAGACACCTGTTTGAAGAGATCACAGTCTCAAGGGAGACTGAGTTGATGAAGTGTGCAGGTGTAGTGGGAGGGGTCTAGATATCCTGGGAGGGGGAAGTAAACCAACAGCTTCTTAAAAATTGGGTTGTAGGGGCTGGAGAGATGGCTCAGTGGTTAACAGCACTGGCTGGTGTGGTGGCGCATGACTTTAAGCCCAGCACTCAGGAAACAGAGGCAGGAGGATCTCTGAGTTCAAGGCCAGCCTGGTCTACATAGTGAGTTCCAGGCCAGCTGGAGCTACCCTGTCTCAAAAAAGACAAACAAACAAAAAAAAAACACTGAAAGAGCACTGGCTGCTCTTGTAGAGGACCCTGGTTTGATTCCCAGTACCCACATGGCAGCTAACAACCATTCATAACTCCCAATTCCAGGGGATCTTATGGCCTCTTCAGGCATTGCATGACCCAGATGCACTTCTACACATGCAAGCAATACACTCATACACAAAATTTTTTTAAAAAATTGGGTTATACCTTTTTATTTTTAATTTTAGATAAGCAGCAAGTAATTTTTAGCATTAAGTCCATCTCAAATATTGTGTGGTACACAATGATAATATGCTACTTATTTACCTGAAGTTCAGATTTACCTAAGATTCTAGTATTAATAAATCAGGCCACAAAATCCTTAGCAGAAGACATTCCAAGTCCAGAGCACAGAACATGCAAATGTATAGTGAAGAAAGAAGAAACTGAAGTGCAGTTAGCTTGGACTCCTGTGTGTAACTGAATGTGTGAATGAGGGTTGACGATGCCATTAGCTTTTACTGGTAGGAAGTGCCAGAGGGGTCCAGTTCCACCCATAATTATTAAGTATACATGACTCTGCCTGTGAAAACTCATTGTCATGCTGGAGCTGTAACTCAGAAATACAGTGGCTGCCTAGCATGGGCAAGGCCCTGGGTTCCATTCCCTGCACCCAGCATGGCAAAATAAATACATACTGAAAGCTCATTGCACAGAAAAGAGACAATATAGTGAAGGAAGTGA